ACAGAAGTAAATGAACAAATAACAACTAGCAGATAGAAGTAGCAAAGAGACCACAAACCATCAGCAAATCAGAAATTCATGGTGTATGGCAGGGACAACTGGAGTAGCTGGGCTGAAAGAGCAAACAAAGGTACCATCACCAAATAGGAGATTTATGAACATTCTGGAAAAATCAACTGGACAGGTTGAGACCATCAGCTGGAGTTCTCTATTAAGGAACTCCCTATTGAAATTTCTATAGATGAGCTTCCCATTTCTTTATCCTATCTCAGCTATTCTTATAGAAGAGTAACCTCGGAGATGCAGTCATTTCACTGGTTTCCTTTCTTCTCTGACACAGTTTTGGGGGACCAGCCTAGATTGGAAAGACCCTTCAAATAAACATGTTTGGATTAAGTTCAGGGCTCCCCACTGCCAGAGTCTGCTTTTATCTAGCTTAAAGGCAACCTTCTATTTACCAGTATAATGCAGGTAGACCAAGTCTATGTGGATCCCACATAATGCTTTTTATCTGTTCCCATCATTCACTCTGTACTCTGAATCTGTGATCTTAGTAGGGATGACATTATGAATACCAATTGAAGCTTTGATTGCTGTAGCCTTTCCATAACTACAACCGACATGGGTTCTGTGGATACTCTAGTGATAAACAGAGCACAAGCTTCCAACAACATATCTTCCTAATGTCAGTGAGAATGAAAATAAATTTCAGTTACAATAATCTGATCTCCAGATGGAGACAAAAAGCCTTTCTTTCCCTGGAGTGGACCTTCTATCTATGCTGTCCAATGTCTTGGCATGGTTCTACCCCTAAGTATCTGCTTACATCTGGTTCACTTCTCAGTTCATGCCCAAATTTCCAGGGGCACTTTTGGCTGTTCATGCACAACATATTACCACCTTTGAAGAAAATCAATTGCTCCCAGAGCAATTATCAAGACTTCAGAAAGAATGAGAAAGCAAAAAACATTTTCTGTGCAGTAGCAGTAAATGATAAATCTTTGATAAGACAGAATATATTTTTACTATTGTAAGTTACATTTCTGAAGACCTTTGGGAAATTCAGAATAAAATGACAAATAAAAATAATAGGGAAAATATTTAAACTTACTTTATATTTCTCTACATCTTTAAATAGTTATAAATACATGTCTATGCTTATTTTAGAGGAAATAAAAGTTAAGTTAAACTAATATATAACCTATCCTGGGTAGATTTTGCAAGATGGAGTATTTTAGTTACTTATATCTAGTTACTTATATTTAGTTACTTATATCTTATATTTTATCATAAGAAAGCCCCCTGGCACACAATAAAATGAATAAGCCTTTGGGGCTCCCTAGTCCACTTGTGTTGTATGTTAAATGACACATTCCAGGCTAAATCATAACATGTGTAGGACCTCTTACCATTGTTTGTTGGGCAGAATGAATGTCCATGTTTTTTTAAGCTATGTTTGGTGAATATATATATATATATATATATATATATATATATATATATATATATATATATATTCTTTTTCTTTTTCTGATGAATGTGGTTCATAGACCTTGGTGAATCACAAAATAGACAGATACTAAAGCAAATACAATTCCAAAAGCTTTTTATTTTTTCCTGCTTAAATGATCTCTTTTAAAATATGGATTGAAGACTTTTGGGCACCTGGAGTTACTTTCTCACCTCTTTGTGCAGTGCCCACTTAGTCTTTGGTTACATGTTATTGTTATAAATTTAGCCAAAAGGGCATCATAGAATTTTCTAGCACATGGGGGTGCATAGATTTCTATCTAGGGTGACTCATCGATTGAGCCAGCCAGTAAATTAACAACAGCAGAACACCATTAAATTTTAAACTTAATTGCCTTCTCCTCTTAATTTCTATGGATATAATCAATAGATGCCAGAGAAAAGTTGAAGGAATTCTTTAGCAAGCATCTACTTCCTAGAGCATAATGTAAAATACACTGTTTGATTTCAGGCTTCATACCAACAACTTGCAGTGCAGTGGTTGCTGAGAAGGCTGTTTCACTTTACACAGTTTTAATGAGCCTATTCTAAGGGGAGTTTTATTTTTAAATCAGTTTGGCTTTCTCTCTGGACCCATCTCTAGCTTTCACTGGCTGTTGAATTGTGCTTTTCTTCCTCTCAATCTTGGTCAACTATAAACCGATTTCCCATTCCATGTTGAATTTTTATTTCAATATGTGTTTATTATAATATCCAAGGTTTTCCCAAAAATTATAGCTCTGTATCAATTGATATTGAAAATATACAGATACATAGGAATAAACCCTGCCAATTGGTATTGGATAAGAGATATTTGGGAGAATATTAGGAAGCCATTTCTGTCTGGCACACAGAGACAAGAGAAAATGTCATGGTCCATGCATTACTGAGAAGTCTCACTCATAAGAGGCCTTGTGGAACACAGATAGAGGTAGGGTGTTTAATCCAAGCAATGGGATTTTCTGTGAGGACTGTAATGTATGACTTCTTCCAAAATAACATTTCACATTTGCTATTGGGATGGATGGACATAAAGTGGGACAATGACCATCCTTCTTCCCCATCCTATCCTATACCATTGTATTTATTAAGATATCAGAGCCAGGTGTTTTCTCATCCCTGTCTTCCTGAATATGTAGAACTCTAGAATCCTGGTTGTATTTAGGTAGCAGGAAGCTTCCAAAAGGACAGACCCAGGAGGTGAGTCATGATGCTCTCTACATCCTATCCACTCAGCATTACATTGGCTCACAGGTATCAATGTGGCTTTCTTTGTGGGCCAGGGTTGGAGGAGGCATGAAGAGGTAATAAACTTTTGTACAGGTTATTTAAACCTGTTCTAAACAGAAAAGATTGTGAGTATTCTCTGAAAAGTGTGAAGAATATTATCATGGCACCTTGTGCTTGAAACTGCACTTAATGTGCTGTTGCTCACAGGCTAGGAAGACAGAGGGTCAGAACTATGAACTTTCCACATCTCCATGGTCTAGTTTCTTTAGCCTCAGCCATGACTAGCTTGAGTATTATTTGCATACCAATGCACTAGTTTTTCTTATGCAGATCTGGGAATGAACCTAGGGCCTCATGCATGCTAGTCAGTTGCTCTGTCATTGAGTTACATCCCAGGTTCCTCAGTGACTGGCAGTTGGAGGCTCTTGGTAAACTTTCTGAACACTGTTTAGTTCTTCACAGGGGAAAGCAAAATTAAAAATGTCCCAAATAGCTGTGACACAAGTCCCCAGGAACTTCCATCTCAAGTTTAAGATCCAGATAAATTTCTAGAGCATAATGATGGGTTTCTTCTTGGACCACAACCTTCTGGTGTAAGGTGACTGCTCTACCTCTGCCTACAAGGTTCATATTCCAACCAACAGGAAAGGATGGCCGAGGGCATGACTTTTTCCTTAATGTAAATCATTTTCACTTACTTTTTCTTTGCCCTATATTAGTCTCATGAATAAACTTACCTAGAAAATATTGTCTATTACCAGGAAACTGTGTATCTAACTAAAATCTGGGCAATCAGTTACCACAAGGGGAAGATGGTACACTGGGGAGGAAGGAGGAAGGCAAGAGCACCAACAATTATACTAAAAACTATACAGCTGCCAGCCTGTTGGGGACTGATTCTGTTATATAGCTTACCTGGTAGTATGGACTTTCATTGAATATGTAAGGCTTTGAACTTGAACAAGCTGCCAAGCATTCTAAGTATCTTTAGACATGTAGTAAAGTTTTGTATTTCCTGGGATTCTAGAGGTTGCACAAAATATGGGTGAAATAACATGTTTTAGGGCTTAACAGAACATATTCACTAAAATGAGACCATATTGACATGTTCTCCTGTGACACAATAGTTGGTGATAGTCCAGATCAGTGGCTACCACTCTGTTGCTTGGATTCACATAGCATAAGTTTTGAAAAGCAGAAGCCTCCACCAAACTACTATGGATTCCTTTGTTTTAAGCAATTGAAATGTGAAGTTTCCTTAGCCTATAACCATAAATATAATATATATTATCACTATATAATTATATATTGGTATTCCTAAAATGTAAAAATCACTATCTCCACTTTAGAAATCTTGCAATAAAACCATTCTCTTAGGGCTTAGCCAAACATTTCTTAGTACACTGAGTACCACCTGGAGCCATCCCCCATGGATTATGGTTAGATACTTAGAATTTTTTAGGGTTATCAAGTTATCTTAATTATATTTTGCTAAAATTGGACAATGCAGAGACACAATGCCAGGCATAGTTAGAATCAATCTCACAGGAGAAGAAATAATGTCTAGTTAATCAGAATGTTTGTCGGTGATTATTCCAAAGTTAGACACCATATACCGACCACACACTGTGTCTTTCTGTGTGTATGTGTGTGTGGTGTGGTGTATGTTTGTGTGTGTAGTGGTGGTGTTTAGGTCTCTGTGTATGTGTATGATGTGTGTGTGTTGTATGTGTGCCTCTGTGTGTGTGTGTGTATGTATGTGCACATCTGTATGAGGTAGTTATGTATGTGTGTGTGGTGTGTTGTGGTGTAGTGTTTGTGTATGGTGTGGGGCTTGTGTATATGTGTACAGTGCATTTAGTGGGGGATGAGGTGTGTATATATGATGTCTTTGTATATGGTATGTGCATGTGTGTGTGATGGTAGTGGTGGTAATGATGGTGTGTGTGTGTGTGAGTATGTGTGTAAATATGTATGATGTATATGTGTACAAGTGTATATGTGTGTTGTGTTGTGTGTTATGTATGGTGTGGTTTGTGTATTTGTATGTGAGTGGTGCGTGTTTATATAGTGTGTGCATGTGTTTTTGTAAGACTTAGTGGGTAGCACCCATGCTTGCTTAATTTTTGAGACAGGGTCTTCCGGTCAAAGTCTGGACTGGAACTCACTGAACAGTTCACCCTGGCCTCAAATTCACTATAGTCCTTCTGTCTGTGTCTCTCACATGCTGGGGTTACATCAATGACCCACTACTCCCAGCCAAAAATGTGAAACACTTCACAGATTTGGCTGCCATCCTTATATAGAGGCCATGATCATCTCTATGTCATTCCAATTTTAATAACTGTGCTGCCAAAACTAACTCTGGCTTTGAATAGTAAAGATAGTGCAGGCTCCTTGCTGTGATGGTGTGCAAGATACGATTATGCAGTCATGCTTGAATTTCCTCCCAATGCTGCAAGTCATTTCCAATTTTTGAGGCCTTGATACATTATATTTAAACAAACTAAATGGACTGTTGTGTTTTGTATGAGTGCCCCCAAATAATCAATCTCCCTAATCCATGTGCTGGCCAGTTAATTCTCAGTACAAGTTGACTGAATGGAAAGACCTAGTGAGCCATGTTTAGGTCATATGGTTCCACCTTCAATACATTAATGTTGTAGTAACTGTCTGACTTCCTGTCGGCCTGCCTTTCTTAGTTTTCTATGCTTGAGACCATGGTGTTCCTCCCTCTCAAGTACACATCAAGAAGGGTCTTGCAGATATCAGCTGCACTCTGCAACTATAAGGAGATAAACTTCATTCCTTATAACAGTTAATCAGCAGTTTATTACAGCAATGCAAAAACACCCACACACACATAAGCTTTCATGATTTCTTTTTACTTCAGATTTATAATCAATTTGAGCTTTTAATTCAAACTGAAAGGAAGGAATGCAGCATAAATGTGTTGCTTATGCCACAGTAGTACAAAATAAAATAGTGATTCTTGACCCCTAAACTAGGAGGGAAATGACACATCAGTAGTGTATCAGTTAAAAGACATATTTAAAAAAAAAAAGCTGTTTTTCTTTCAGTCCCACATTGTCACTCTGAGACTATGTGTTACACATTTGACTTGGAGATGTAAAAAAGATGAATGGACAGCATTTGTATTTGTGATGGAGGAGCCAAGATCCTCCCCGGCCACTTGTTAAAGGCTTTGCTTCCCGTTCTCCTCGAAACCAATCTAAGCATCCCTGTAGCTAGGTTCTGTTGGGACAAGAAAGAACAAAAGAAGCACATATCAATCACAGCACTGCTTGTTACCCATTCCTATCAAGGTTTGCCCATGAGGGCACTGAAATAATTGTGTAAAATGAAGTTTTGAGATTATCTGTAGATTTCAATTACAGTATTTGTGCTCTCTCAGACCCCTATTATCATCCATAGCTGGTTTGGCAATGCTGTTGAGATTTATAAGGCAACCTCCCTGGTTTTCTGCATCCAACTGGGACCACATGGTCAGCACTCTTCTATTATCTTCAAATCTGGTTTCTAAGAAAGACATGTTTGTTGCCTGCATGACTTAAAGAAACTGCCAATTCAGCAATAGCTACATCATTTGTAGAAAAAAAAAGTCACAAGGTGTCAAATGGCTCTTTGTCAAAGTGGTTAGTTCTGTACAAAGTCACAGGTAAGGAAAAAATATGGAAAAAGCATAATTTATGCCCAATTATTGCTCACAGTCTCATTTCAGAGATAGCCAGTTTAGACATGAAAGGTTATAGGGACTGTCCCCTGGAGCAGGGGCAAGGACAGGTCTACTCTGCTGCTGGCCAAGCCACTGGCTTTGCTATAAGATGATTTGGATTCTGATATCTTCTCACATCAGTTGTATGAATTAATGACTTAAGCTGTCTATGGTGGTTTTGTCTTTTTAATCTAGGAAACAAAGAGGCTGTTACCTCATGCAGGGTCACTGTAAGAACTGAAATTCAGAAGTATGCTTGGAGTACTTGCTTACAGAATTAGTACCTTGATGCTGGTAGTAGGTAAAAGGCAAAACATGGGATAGAAGTATGTTCATAAGGTTCTCTCTGGTGATGAAGAGGACATGTAGAAAGGTATGATAGTGATGAATCTTGATGTTGACATGATAACTCAATCTATGTATTTGTATTCTCAGCATGTCTTTATTAGAAGGGTATTGTGGGGTGACACTGTTTCCAAAGTACAACTGTCCACCAGACAGCAGCATTGATGTTGTTTGGTTTGTAAACCCAGTGACACTGGACAATGGTAGAATGTTTCCCTCCGATAGAGTTCATATCCATCTGCCATGGTAGCCTGAATTCAAGCAAGCAGACCCATGCAAAGCAAATGCTATTCCATGTCTTGACCCCTCAGTCTTCCAGTTTGATAGCTGCTCAGACACAGTGCAAGGTGGCCTTCCCTACTTCACTCAGTCCCTGTATCTAGAGACTCTACCCAATAGTGTTGCTGTAACTTGTGTTTATTCACTCTCTTGATCAGAATCTATAGTGGCTATTACAGTGTTTATTATATCTCCCCTTCACCAAAAATATCCTTCCTACAGATAGCATAACTTTGTCTTATATTTGGTCTTATATTTTGAGGGCCTAAAAGTACCTGAAACATGGACCATGGTACAATAGATAAAATGCTGAATAAAGGAAGGTTGCAAGGAGGTCACCATGAGAAAAGGAGATAAGCTCAGAATTTCATGTTAAGGAGTATGTGTATAAGACAATTTAATACCACTAGTAAATAAAATGCCAAGATACTGCAAGTCTTTGCTATAGTTTATTTCATTAGTGCTTTATGTAGACTTTTACAATATTATAATGTTATTAGCAGGTATAGGGCTCCTATAAAAATGAAAGAGAGATCACAATTAAATTAAAGTTTCTAAACCACTGGAGCCTCTCCTTACATCACTTTTTCTGGATGCCTCACAGTGATGATAAGACAGTCTTGTCACACTTGATAATTTGAGAAGCTGAAGCTTTACACAAGGGTAGATTCCCATACTCATGGCCTGGAAACTGTTGCAAACTGACAAACCACTCCTAGGATGACACCACTGAAGGCTGGGTGTTAATGAGTTCACTAGACCCAAAATAAATGATAAATTGGTGTTTTCTTGGGGAAAAAGTTACACAGATAATAGTAAAGAACCACCTAGATGTTCCTGCTCCAGAAGATGCAGTCTCTACCCTTCTGATGATCTTCTGAACCAAGAGAGAGAGCTCCCTTTTTATCTACTTTCAAGTAGTCATGTCTGCTTCTACACCTGAAGCCACACCCAAAGAGGTGTGGCCACTAACACAAATTTACTGGCAAGGTGAGATGCTAGTATGTACATACCACAGCCATGCAATGGCTGTAGTTTGCTCTACAACTGGAAGCTTCAGGAATAGTCTGTGGGAAGGCATGAACTTGGAGAGAAGATACAGACCTAGCAACATGAGATGGCTTAATGCACACACTGAAAGCAGTGTCTACCTATCCAGTGATATTCCCATGAAAATATCACTGGTTCTTTATCTTGGTTTCACAAATCTGAAAATTATCCCTTTAACTGCTTTTTTAAACTATCTCCGTTTTCCATGAAAAGTAGATTTAGATAGTGGTTGGACATGCAAACAAATTTACAACAGATTATAACAAAGTGAACTAAATAAATCATCACTTCAACATAGTCTCTAGTGCAGGTTTTTAAAAAAGCATAAGAGAGAGAAGCAATAAAAGTGGAAAAGATAACTTCAACTCTCAGGATAGAATTCTGCTTATTGCATTAGTGGCTTTGTTTGCCCAGAATGACCGTGTTTTCCTACTGAGGGTTAGAAGTGTGGAGAATTCCTCTTAGCTGAGATGTGATCTGCTGAACTGATTACCTAAGGTCCCACTTCCTTGTCAGAATCACTCTGGTTTTGAGCTTACCCTAGGCATTTGTACTGAAAGTCCCCTGCTTCAGGTCAGATATGAAAAACTATTCTTGTCCTTCAAAACCATGCTTTCAATGCTGGGTTTCATTTTAAGGGGCCTTCCCTTAAGCTGTTTAGAAACCAGTAGCCATTGAACTCAATGAGAAACATGACTGGAACTTGGCCCATTTGTCTCAGAAATTGAGACTCTGGAACTCAATTATGAAGAATTCATGTTTAAATGCCTTAACTGTTGTGTCTCAGTCAGTAGTGGTAACATACACCAACATTTAGCAAGCAAGCTGGGGTAGAAAGATTGTGAAGTCTTGGCTCAAAATCAAAGCAAAGCAACAACAAAACATCCACATCCCCTCCTACATTTCTGAAAATAGAGACTTGTAATTAGCAATTTCACAGGACTAATATCAGTTTTAATTATAGTAGAAGATGACTTCATGGTCAAATATCTATTGTTAAATACCATTTAATAAGTTCTGGAGTCTCAACTACGTAAGCCTGAGCGGATTATTTTCTAATACCACCTTTGAAAAATTCAAAGTGATAGATAAAAATGCTATTATATATGTATAATATTGCATATATTAATATCACCTGTAATTATTAAAGCTTCTACCATTAATATTAAAGTGGTATGTGTATAGGTTTATAACAGTAACTGTCTTCTGTTTTATTTTCATTGCTGTGCAAAATAGTAGTAATTAGCTTCTGGAAAGGACACAACATAGACACACACATGGTTCAGGGAACATAGGACAAGCACTAGCACATGCTCCTGGATCTCTAGCATCCTTGCTGCTTCTACCTTACCCTCATAGGTGTCTACTCCTTACTTCTGTTATCACGAGTTGGTTCATTTCGTTTTAGACTTTTAATCAGGCAGTATAATTCTGCAACATACTTTAAAAGCAGCTCATGACAATATTCTACATTGTTCCATGTAATACTTATTTCTTTGTTCTCACCACTACTGAGTTTTTCACATGTTGAACACAACAAAATAGTTTGCATTTTGAAATTTGTCCAACCTTTCTTGAATAAGTTTGGAACTATTATGTGTTATTTTATAGACATCTACATATACATCTTGTGGCAAATACAAGTGTGTATTTTGACTGACTATAAAACAGAGTGGAAATGCTGGATTGAAGATTATGTATATGTTTAGTTTTGTTAGAAGATTCAGCTAAAGACACTGGTACATATCAATAGTTTGTATGTATTTGTGGCGTGTGTGTGTGTGTGTGTGTGTGTGTATACATGTGGGGTAGAGTGTATGCACTCTATGTACAAGTATGGAGAGGCTAAAGGGAAACATTGGGTGTTTTCCTCTTAACGTTCCACCTCGTTTTGAGATAGGGACCCTGAAACTGAGGCTTGCAGCTTTGCTTGGGCTGGATGGCCAGCAAGCATC